TCAGGTAGGATGCACGATCTGTAACCCAGGCAAACTTGAGAAAGTTGGATTATAAAATGAACCGCTCAGCTTTAAGAGACTGTCGTCGTTGTGCTCCGTTGCAGTCCGATGCCGAAGACGGGCCGGCTGACAAAGAGGATTTCATGAAGCCGGAATCGTCCCCAGACTCTCCGATAACCCTGGAGATTCTTGCCTGCTCGGTTTGTGCATCGCCCGGCACTTCGATCATCTGCTCTGCCTGTGGTCGAGGATACCACAGAGACTGCCACGTCCCCCCAGTTGGACTCGACTTTTGGTAAGAAAAATAATTTTTATCCTTTTGCTTCTTTAAGATGACTGAAGTCCACTGATGTGTGACCATTGGATTGAAAATCAATCTAAAGCCTATTCAAAAAGTTGTTGTTTTTTTCATTTTAAGTTATTATGAACAAAACTCAACTCTTTCCTGATTTACTTTTATTATGAAACCTCTGCAGGAAGTCTCTTAACATTGATTCTGTTCATCTGGACGTTTCCAGAGAAACGTTTCGTCATCATCAGGTGACGTCTTCAGCCTCAGCTGACTGCAGGTTTCAATCTTATAAACAGGACATTTACATAATGACTGAAACAGCCCACTGAGGGAACAATGGGCTGGGAGGTCAGTTCCTTCAGCATTGATATGCAAATCAGGCTGTGTGATTTAACCAAAATCTCATATCCCGATATAAGACGTCTATCGTCCCGATAACCATATAAGTCACAAAAGTTTAACATTTATGTAAAGTCTGTGAATCTCGAGCAGCTCGACTTGTGTGAAGTGTTTCCAGCTGGAGTCGAGTGTTTTAACCGATGCATGAAACGACACATTTTTAGACATAAGTTGTAACGGCGCCGTTTTCTTTGTGAGTATTTATTACACGGCGTGCTGCGGGGAAAAGCCTGTTCTAACGTTTGAGTCTAAGGTTTATTTTTTAGCTCCTGGCGGCTCTTTTTTTAAATTTTCATCCGTAAATAATCTGCTCTTTCATGTGATTCAGTTTATTTTGAAAAGTCTCAACAGGATCTTGAGCTTTATTGTGAAAGGTTTATGTGGAACATAAACAAGCGGACACGCGATGCTGTTACCGTCGTTGTTGCTAACGACAACGCATAAAAACAGGCGCTTGTCCGTCTGTAGTGTGGTTATATTACATATAAGAGAAAGAGAGAACTTTAAGAAATGAATATAGTCACTACAGTGACATCAGAACATGAAAAAATATTGACGTAAACAGTTTATTTTTCGACACCACGAAACAAACGATAGCGTAAAATGAAACGATGGATATATATGGTTATATCGAACAGCCGTACTGCAAATTGCTGTCATGACAAGTCTTAATGCTGAAGGAACTGACCTCACAGCCCGTTGTTCCTCAGTGGGCTGGTTTCAGTCATTGTGCAAATGTCCTGTTTATAAGATTGAGACCTGCAGTCAGCTGAGACTGAAGACGTCACCTGATGATGACGAAACGTTTCTCTGGAAACGTCCAGATGAACAGAATCAGCTCTTTGGGTCTTCCTTACCTGGTGATTGAGCATCAAAACCTCTGCAGGAAGTGCATACTATGAGTGTCAGTAACATCACACAGTGAAGTGACCTCTGCTGTTTGACCTTGTCCTGCAGGTCAGAGTGGGCCTGTTCATTATGTCAGAACCTGTCAGACCCGTCGGACCCCTACAGCACCGAGAGACTTCAGCACACCAGCCTCAGTCTGCAGAGCCTCAGGGTCAGCGTCTGCTCACAAACGCTTACTCATGAACCTCACTTCACAACGTGACTTGTCTCCATCGGTTTGTGGTAGATTTTCTTCTAAAGTTTTGTGTGTTGTGTCTGTTTTTGTTTTTCAGAGGTGCGAGTGTCTCGTTCTGCATCTGAAGGTTGAAGTCTGCAGTCGGTGCTCTCAGGTCAGTCTGAACAAAGCTCCAGTCAGAGTAGAAGCTTTTAGCAGCTAACAAGTTTATACACTTCATAAAAGGTGCATGAATGAAAATAAACCTGGGAAACGCAAAATAAAGGGTCTCCTGTAGCTGTCGTTGAACCAGCAGGTGGCGCTCCTGCAGCCTGATCAGGTCACAGCGATGAAGACTTTCTGTTTTCTTCTCTTCAGTTTGGCGGTTTGTCTCGGCTGAAGTCTATATCGGACCGCCTGACCCTCCGCCGGCCTCCTCCGTATCAAACGGCCGCGGAGCTCGTCTCTGACATGTGGACTCTGTTTAAAGACGCCTCTCAGGTACGCACGGAGCAGGTGGAGTCAAACACGGAGCCGATGAACTGTTTGTCTCTCTTTAATGAATTAATGAGACGGTGTTAAACTGTACTTTTTGATACTATCATGAAATTAAAATGCCGGATGGATGAAACACATTAATTATTCCATTAATAATAATAATAATAATAATAATAATAATAATAATAATAATAATAATAATCCAGGTCTCTAAAGGGCTGTTTGTGCTTGTGAGCACAGCTGCTCAGTTATAAGGACACAAAGTAAAATATGGCTCGCCTTCATAACGTCCAACTTTTTTATGCAGGTATTTGTTTTAAAACTGTACCTTAAACTTTCACCACTAGGAGGCAGAGTTTTACCATGAAGCCTGAGTGGCGTTGCCTCGGTGATAAGAGCAGCAGAGTTGTGCTGTGGATGTGAGAGTCTGTGGTCCTGATCAGCTTTTCCCCGCCCCTCACCCCGCGGCACCTGTCCCTGAAACGTCAAAGAAACCTGAAGGATACGGCGCCTTTTTAGCGGCTGCGAAAGCCGTGCTTCCTGTTAACCTGCTGCTACTGTTAGTTCCCCGAGTTTAAAGAGAGAGCAGGAAAATGACCTGGAGTCAGTCTTACCTGTTCAGGTGATACCTGTCCGCTAGTGTCGGCTAATTATTCTCGACCTCATCGAGCACTGCTGTGAGTGTGGCGTCGATGCGCCGGCTTCCTTTCTCGTCCTCACAGGTGTTTCACGTCTGAAGATGTTGGACGTATAATTTGAAAATAAATAATCAGAATTTAGGGCTGATTTCACCGCCTGCAGCCATGTTTGCCGTGCAGCTGACGCGCGAGCTTTGGCTTCTTTCAGTGACGCCGAGCTGCCGACGCTCGGCTTCAGCGCAGACTCGCTGAGATAACTGAGCAGCAGGACGAGCCGTCACTCTGCCTTCTCTCTGCTGTTTTCAGGACGACGAGTTGCAGAAACTGCGGGAAAGTTTCCGGATGAAGTTGGTGGAAACTCTGAGTTCGGAGCTCCATCCTTCACTCCTCACCGCACCGAACTCAAACCCGCAAACTGCCGCTGGACACGCAAGCAGATCGCAGCATGGCCGAGAAGACGAGAGGTTAAAGTTGGAAAAAGAAGAAGGGTTAATACCGGAATCCAAACTCGAGGACTTCAGGAAGAGACTGAGAGACTTTCTGGATCTAAAGGGAAGTCCTGGTCCAAAGAGGAGAAAGAGAGACGATGACTGAGGAGGTTTTAAATGACCAAGAAAACTCTGCACAGCTGCTTTTTTTTCTTTTTTAACCCATGAATGTACGAGTGACCTCAGCAATAGTTCGTATATGACCTTTACACATAAAATGAAGGAGAAACTGCCCGTCGCAGTTTCCTGTAGCAAGGGGCCGTCTTCAGATGTCATAAGTTTGTGTGAAAAGCCCAGCGAGACTGAACGTAGCGCGATGGAAACGACGCGACTAACCGTGCGTGTGACCGGAAACACGCTCGTCTGCTCCGCCTTCATCGGTTTGTTTCCTCGCTGCTTTTAAAAACCAAAATCAGAGTTTCAGCGGCTCAAAGAAAATAAAAACCTGTCCTGATGCAGATTTGATCGGTGGAAGCTCGGCTCTGTGCGCTCGGTGTTGGAGCTCCTCCAGATGTGCAGGGGCTCCTCCAGATGTGCAGGGGCTCCTCCAGGGGTGCAGGGGCTCCTCCAGGGGTGCAGGGGCTCCTCCAGATGTGCAGGGGCTCCTCCAGATGTGCTGCACTCTGATGTACAGGAAGCATCTGAGCTCACAGCAGGCAGCTGTAGACAGTTACAGCACGAGTAACTTTAAAAAGCATTTTTCAGAAACACCATGTGCCTTAATTTAAAGCCGCCCACAGAACCTGGAAACCCAGCCGCTGATGATGAAGTCAGTTTCTGAGTGGCCGCCGCGTGTAACCCCACAGGAGTATTAACCCCGTCGTCTCTCACTGACAGCGTGAAGAACCGCTAAAGGTTTCCTCTGCGGTGGGCGGGACGTGTCCTCGCCAGCGCTTCTGTATTTCTGCACTCAGTTCGCTGCATCTGCGAGTCGTAATCGATGATTTTGGTCTGAACTTTAAACAATATTTTTGGTATGAAAAAGTTCATTTTTCTGGGAGTGGTCACATCTTAGAGGCAATAATTTTTCAGTATTTCACATTTTTCTTCAAAAGGGGATGAAATGATGGCGGCATCGATCGGCCCAGTGTCCGTGCTGTGAGCGCTCTGACTTTATAAACATTAAACGGGTGATTTCGTCTGAGACTTTGTGCCGGGCTCGATTTTACCGCCTTATGTAAAGTGAGTGTGACACGTTCATTCAGACAGGAAGCTGTTACTTTTGTAATTACAGCGAGTCCTCGGTGGCAGTATTGTTACCTTTACTACTGTCAGATTTCATCTCTTTGGCAGCTGATCAGCCATAACGTGTTCTAATTTTTGGTATTTCCCCTGAAAGCTGAGGCGCGCACGCCTGCAGCGAGTAGCGTGACATGTTTACAGGTTAGTCCGAGTTTTCTCGTTTGATATTTCATGTTTTACACGAACGTTGTTTTTTCTCTTACGATGAAATACACAGAGAATTTACTTTGTTTAACATATATAAAAATATAACATTAAAATAAACGTTCTTTTCCATAACTGACTGGCTTTGTATCTGAGATGAGTCTCGTGTATTTACTGTGAACATTCAGTCGACATGTGATTTATTGTAACAGGCGACTCTGTATTTGATCTTTGTCTTCAGTATTTGACTCACATCCTGCTGAGGTCTCAGCTGTTGTTTATTCTTTCATTCAAGCTTTATGACGCGATTTGTTTTCTAATCACTTCATGTCGCTGTCTTCTCTTTCTTTAATAATTATATGTCAAAACTGTCGTGTCCAAACGGATCCCAGTCACACGTCTGTGGAACCAATGAGCCGGTTCATGTTTCCCCTGGTGTTGGTTGGGGAACGCTGACTCGTTTCTTTGTGTGCGCAGTTCGATGTCATGCACATACCTGTGTTCAAACTTTATTGTGAAAGTCTGTGTTTATGTTCCCTTTTTTTAGGAATTTGAAATAATTTTACTTTGATGACTCATCGAAAAAATAAAAATCTACTGAAAAAGAGAAACGGGAATCAGAACAAGAATTCAAATCTAAACGTGGATTCTTCTTCGGCTGTACATTTTATCAAAGAAAATGTTGGGCTGTGTTTTAAAAAATACCATTAAATATTTTTTTCACGTGACTGTAAATCACATCTTTACTCGGAACACAAATTCCTTTGTGCTTGCATCAGGAGGCCGTGAAAGTCTGCCAAATGCACCATCCGCTGTGGAAACCCCGTGAGACTTTGATCGTTGTCTTATTGAAATTTCTCGGTAGGCTGAAAATCGTGCGGTGGGACAAACCGCGTTTAAACCAAATGATTAAGTGTAAACTTTTAGGTACACGAGGACTTCGAGAGTCTTAGAGTCGACGATACAAAGGTCACATATTTGTCTGCATGATTTATACACCAAATATGGCCCCGAGGGATCCAGTAATGAATAAAGATCAGATAACTTGGTCTAAATTTGTTGGAAATGAAATGAAATTTGATATCAAATTAAATGATTTGTTGAGGAAAATAATAATCAGTTAAGTTCTGCGGCTGCTGAAGAAAAACAGGAAGAATAAGGTTGTTCAGCTGGGAGCCAGCAGGTGGAGCCAAAGAGGCGCAGAAACGAAGCTCGTCGTTTAATCGACGCGCTCTGCAGCACATAGTCTTTCCCCACTGAGACGAACCCAGCTGCACAAATCTGCAGATTTTCACACGATGCAAAAATGTCCCAATAACTGAAAAATGAGACAGAGACACGCCCTCAATGTCCCCTCACTTCAAAACAGGTCAGATGGTATAAAAGCAGAAAGGTTGTAAACAACAGAGAAAGGTCATTATATCACCACCACCCCACTCCCACCCCCACCCACCAATCAGAGTGGTGCAAAAATGTCCTAAAATGTACCCACAATTAGTGAAAGCCCTGAAATACCCTCAAAAAGACACCGACACAAGCACGTACACAAAGATGCTCATATCTGCCTCCATATCTGCCTCGTTACTGCTGTAATAAGACTCCAGATAAGACCCTCCACCAAGCACGGGCTGCAGTCAGACTGGGCTGTGACTCACAGCTCCGAAGCCCCGCCCACACGGAGTACATAAGCCGGCGATCTGAAGCGGCGCCTCCAGATCTTTGGCATCTATTGTCAGCAAACCTGAACTGATTCCTGATGGTGGTACAGGAGAAAAGTCGTATGGAGGCGATGGAGGGAAACCAGCAGAGGGTGGAGGTGAACATCCTGCTGCTCGGAGCTCACAATGTCGGCAAGTCCGGTGAGTAAAGATCAAACTGGCTCATTTCCAGAATATTTCACCTTTGCTTACAGAACGTTTTCATGTTGATTCGTTAGAAATATCCTCCTCTTTATGTTTCTCTTCTCGTATTTTCACTTCATTTCTAGTTTTCTAGCTCAAATGTTGCTCAGAGGAAGCAGCTCTGTAGTCAGCTATGAACATATTTCAATGTTCTGATTTCTGTTTTTACTTTGCAGTGTTTTCTTTGATCTAATGATCTTTTCTCTCTGTGCAGCTCTCACCGTCAGATTTTTGACCAGGAGATTCATCAGCGAGTACGGCGACATCGGTGAGAGCTCTGTCTGCTCAGTCAGAGAGAACGTCTGTGTTCACATGCTCCGACTGATCGAAATCATTATTCAGTGTCAGTACTATGAATATTTATTCACGCTTCCCCTTTATCTCGCGTTCTTTCAGAGTCAGTTTACAGCCGAGTTGACAGAATTGATGGGCAGGAGATCTGCTTCAACATCTGGGACTCTCAGTATGCACAGGTAGGTCTCCACCTGGCTGCACCTCGCACACACACAGGTGTATTTCCAGCTCTTTAAAATGTGATCCTTTATATTAAAACACCTTTTTGGTTCCCAAATTGTGGCTGAGCAAACAGATTTGAAAAATATAATAAAGGTCAGTGCTAAAGATGGAGCAGGTACCACACATCAGTATCCATGGTGATTAAAGGGCATCTTAAATCTGAGGTAAACATGATTAATAAAATAAACATGGGGAAAGTGTTTGCTAAGGTCATAGGTCAAGTGTCTCCAATAGAGCTCTATACCAAGGAACGTCAGAAGAGTCGCCCCCTGATGGTCAATAGACAGAATGCAGACTGAGGACCAATCGTTTATATCGAGCGTGTGGTTAGTTTAGTTCGACAGATTAGTTTGGGGAACCTTTTTGCACAAATTTGCATATTAACACCATAAATAATGATGTGAGCATGAATTTTAGAGTTTGTGCGTTTGCTTTCTCCACAGCCCGGAGAGAAGAGTTCCTCCGTCAGCGACAAACAGCTGCAGTGGGCTGACGGGATGATCCTCGTCTACAACATGTGTGATCGCAGCAGCTTCGACATTGTCCAGCAGCAGCTGCAGCAGATACGTCGAAGCAGGAAGCCGTCCTCTGTCCCCATCATCATCGTGGCAAACAAACGCGACCTGCAGCGGCACCGCAGCGTCTCTGGCGAGGAGGGAAGGTTGCTCGCCCTGTCCCAACAGTGTGGCTTCTTCGAGGTGTCCGCGGCGGAGACGTACCACGGCGTCCTGCTGGTGTTTCACCGCCTGGTCGACCTCGTGAAAGAGACACGAGCTATAAGAAAAAGCATGGCCGGCGTCCGAGGGATCGTCAGGAGCGTGTCTGCAGTGTTTGCAAAGAAACGGGCGGAGTAGACTCAACATGCAAAGGTTGTTTTTGCTCATTCTGATGAGATGAAAACGTCAGGGCGAGAATTTCCTGTCAGATGCCTCCTGAGTGAAGTCAAAGGTCAGATACGAGACGGGCTGAGGAGGTTGAGAGAACGATTCTTTATTGGAAGGTCGACGGTAAAGCTGGTCAGAGAAAAGTTGTTTCAGAATAAAGAGGGGCAGCTGGAGCTGAAGACCTTTAGCTCAGCTAGCAGAGAGGCGATGAATATCTCGGCACTTATCAGACACTGACACAAAGTTTCTTCCTCAGAGGATGAATCCTAATTACACAGGTGGTCCTCTGACTTTTCCATTAGCCGCACAGGCAGGATGCTCTTCCATCCGATGAGCTGACGAACTCTTTCAGCACCGAAGAGCGTGAACCCGACTGACTTCAGTCACGTAACCTCCTCTGATTAAATTCTGGTAACCATTCTATCGAACCAATAGTGTTGTAATAGGGCCGACATTATGTGCTCCATTCTTTGGTTTGTGACCAAACGTGCAAAAACACTGACTGTAGCATTAGCCTTGTGTATAGTCTTTAGCATGCTAAGGTAGCAAGCATGCACTAAATTTGCATTGTTTCAGAAAATATTTTAAAAGCTCAACAAATTCTCGAGTTCCCCTTGAAACATCTGAAATCATCAGGACTCTGCAGCCTGGTGGGAATGTCGGAAAGTTTTGTGTGTCAGACGGACGTCTTTAATTCATCAGCTACTTACATTTCTGTTGGATTAAAAAACTGGTTTAGATGTGAACTCGCTCACTGACTGACGATCAGCGTTTTTTCTGGCTGTGATTTCAAACAGGTTATCAGGTTCTCCAGACACTAAACTTACACCATCATGGACCTGCAGGAATGCTGGGTTCAGTCTGTTTTTAGCTCCTGGATGAACGAGTGGCCCGCTGTCAGCTGACCCAGCTATCTGGGATATATGAGAACAAAAGAACCTATCTGTACTGTAAAATGAATGTTTCTTTTTGTACATAAATCTATTTATTCATATCAGTGTTGTACAGAAATTTTTCCCCCTGAAATTCAAACCTGAATAAACAACATGAACCAAAGTCACTGTTCAGTCCTCTGAGGTTTGACGAAGCTTTTATTTGAACTTGTGGCTCAGTCAGAAACACTTTCAGATCATCGTTTACATAAGTGGTTTCATACAGACAAGAGTGACAACCATAAAACCAATGATAACTTCTAAATTATCAAAACTATATTAATTAAAAGAGATTAAATGAGTTTCAGCAAATTTCTGTCCAAATAAAACGGGTCACTTCCTGACAGGTTTGAACGTGAAATATTTCAAAGTGCTCGATATTTTGGACAATTACAACCACCGCTGATCACTTTGACTAGATTCTGCTGCATCTGTCTTTTTTACATAATAAAGTTCAGAACTTGGCGAACATTCGTCTACCCAACAAGTCTTGGTATCAAACCCATCCACACATCTCCAACCAACAACACAGAGCCTTCATCACTACTTTTGTTAAGGTTCAAAATTGAGGAAGGAGAGTACAAACCACCCTTGGTCCAGAAGCTCTTGGTCAAACAATGATTTTTAATGAACACACGTGTGGGAAGAATAATCTGTACACAGACAGGAATTAATCTTCGACTTAATCAGAGCATACACAGATATTTTATAGCATCAGGGTTTGATTTACTGACGCCCCTTCATGCGTCACAGATACATTTTATACATAGATCAGATCAACACCACAATGACTTTTAACCCAGAAGATCATCTTCTATTTTCATGGCTGGTACTTTCCGTTCTTGTCTTAAAGTGAATTGTTCCTCTTTCTTGCCGAGACATGACTAATCTCTCCTCTAAATAAATCTAACTCATGTGTGTGTGTGTGTTGACCTCACATGCTCTTTCTCAATTCACCTGTTGCACTTCTGACCTTTCACCAGGACAGAGGCTCACTGAGACTATATGTATGTCTTCTACTAAATAAATGTTTTAACCAAGAACCTCTACTAAAACCTTAATATGAAATGACCTGATATAAGTGTTTTGTAAGCATGTACTGCAATTCCTTCTATGGCTCCAAGTCACTTGCACAATAGATTGTCCGGACATCGCGCCGAACAAAGCTTCCAACCCCCAATTAATTGACCGAGCTCCAACTCTTTAATAAGCACAGATATGCATTGTGTATAAAATAGTCATAACTGCACCTGAAATACAAGGTCAACATAATAACTGTATGCATAACATCTTAAGGCCTTCTTAAAGCTATCTGTTACATTGTTAAAGCCTCGTCTTAGCCTGCTGCTCAAAATAACTTTCACTTCTGCAAAACTCTCCAAGCCTGTTTCCTGTCCTGTTACTTTTAGCCTTTCTGAAAGACACACTGTTTAAACCTCTAAACGCAATATAAACTCCAGATTATATTATTAATGCAATGGTAATGATGACAATTATTTAACAATAGCAGTAAAATAATTTCCCTGCTCCACACTCCCTCTCTCGACCTCTGGAACACCAGAGGTCGCAATACATTGTGTCCTCGCTCAGACCCTCTCTAGCCGTCCTCTGGCTCAACCAGCTCCCATTCGAGAACACTCCATGTGTAAGCTTAGGTTTTCTCGGTCCCTCTCTTTTGGTTCATGAGGCCTCGAGATCTCCAGCATCCTCGCCCCTCCTGTGGTCGCCGAGATCTTCTGCAAAGGAAACAAAACACCTTTTCCTGCACCTCCCTAACTTATCCTATTTGGGACTCTGTAATCAAAAGCATGATCCTAATTATGTTCTTAACTTATTGACTTGTATTTATATATATTCTTCAACGTTACTCATCCCTTTAAAACTCTTTAAGCCCTGCTTTTACGTCCGGTTGCTCGCTCTATTTTTCCCTTATCTGATCATCAACATCCTGTACACACAAACTGTCCACCTTTTTAACAAAAAATCATTAGAACCAGCCTATTCTACTAAAAGCTCCAAAAGAAAAACAACCACTTTAATCAATTAAGTTTAAGCATATAAGCAATTACTCCTGTATACATTTCATCATAGCTAAATGCTGCCTAAAAACAACTCCTATGTGTTAACTTCATTTTAACCTCACATTTCCTATGTTATAACCTGTTTTTGGTATAGCCTTTTTGTTTCATTTTGCTCCTTTTAATGTAACAATACCTTCTAATTCTAATTTATCAGACTTAACCAAAATATATGCTTTCCTTCCTCTTTGGTCCTTCTTTAAGTTCAGGAAATTATTTTACTGCTATTGTTAAATAATTTCCCTGCTCCACACTTTGCATCAGTGCTTGATTATCAGGAGCAAAACACAAAATAACATCATAACCAAGCTGCACGTTGACCAAAAAAACAAAACAGCTTTCAGTCACATCTCATCAACTCTGTGACTGGAAAAAGGTTATGAAATGTGGCTAAAGGCTTCTTGCTTCTTCTACAAAGCAAAGCAGATTATGAACAGCATACATTTAACATATTTGAAAGAATTGTGAAATAAATATAGAACATTTTCTGCTAAATGTGAAACAGATCTGGGATTATTTGGGACTTTGTGGCTCGACATTAAACCCAATTAAACCTAATGACAGAGTTTTCTCTGGAATTACATTGATGCAGGCTGATACTCTAGATTCATGTGACGGTGTTTTTTGGGAGGCGTCCCATACGAATCGGTCTTGGGCCCTTTTTTATTTCTTCTGTCTTAAAAACCTCCTTTAGGAAACCTCTTGTAGGTTTTGCATGTTGCCGCCTGTCCACAGCGAGAACGGCGTCAGCGATCAAATGATAATTTGGTGACAGCTTTGCGGCTGAACACGAACGCACAAACCAGCAGCAGCTGAGGCAGGTTCGTCTGATCATCCAGGACTGAGGTGGCCGGCTGTAATCGCTCGGGGGTCGGGGTCAAAGGCCGCGGTCGGTGGGGGATAAGGGTGGGGTCAAACCTCAGCGTGGTGTTTAGGAGTCGGTTGTTTCTGTAGCGTTGGCAGCATTTTCGGAGGAGTTGGGGGTCAGGTACTCGAAGGCCTTCTGGCTCTGGGAGACGAACTGTTTGAGCGGGGCGAGGAGCAGCTCGGCGGCAGATGGCCGTCGAAGGGCGGCGCCTTCGGAAGGGAGGGGCGTGCCCTCCACCTCTGCGGCTTGGGGCTCCTTTAGACTCGAGCGACGACAGCCATTAGTTGGGTCGGGGCTCACAGGACCCCCGGAACCTCGTGCAGCGCGGGAGTACAGGCTCCGGCGGCGGCGAGGACGGCCGTCCATGGCCTTCAGGAAGAGGCTGTTACTGGAGCCACGACGAGACGAGTTGTCGGATACAAGCTCCTCTTGGTTCAAGAATTCCTCCACCTCCTGAGGAGATGGCTTCTGCAGCTGAAAACAAATGGGGAGTGGAGTTGGAAATCCCGACATGTCTCAGGTGTGTTACAGGTGTGTTGCAGGTGCTTTCTACTCACCATGTCGTAAAGTGGTGTGGTGTTGAACACGAACTGAAGGATGATCTTGGCCACTTCCCTCAGCTCTTGAAGCAGCTCCTGGATTTGGAGGGGTACTGCTCGGACCAGACGAACCACACGCAGCTCTGCCAACATGGTCGCCCGAACTCTGACCGCATTCAGAGAGGCCTCTCTGAGGGCCTCTGCTTGGTACACCAGCGCCACCAGGAGGCCCTGCAGGAATTGCAGCAGGTCACCGGACAACTTGAGGACCCGAAGCAGACCAACCTGCAGGGAACAGGTGCTGTTGTTAGAACATCCATGAATCTTGTGTCTCTTCAGCAGTAAACTTACTAAAATGGTGAATGAACTCGGAAGAATTCGACTTTTTCACTCCTCTAGCTGCTTTGTTCTTCAGCTTCTGTCTTTTCACCTCCTTTAACTTTTCTGTCACATAAACCAGAATTCCTTACAGCTGTTTTACAGTAGACACATACATGTATCTGTTAGTAGCCTAAACATGACCCATCATGGACAGGTGCAATGGACCTATGCATGGCTAACACATTCAACAATTCTGAGACCAGGAGGAGACACAAACCCAACCTCATGGGGTCATAAGCTACTCCCAGTCCCAGTTCCAAGCCTGGATCAATGAGAAGGTGGATCAAACATGCAACACCATCTGGGAACAGATCACAGTACCCGAGGATCTCCAGGATTTAGTTTTTGGTGTTATTATGAAGAAAGTTCGCAAACAGCTTGATTGAGTTCCTTTACCCCGGTGATGAATTCTGATCTGTGTAGTGAAATACTGTGTTACTGTTCAGTGGGGCCTCTCTGCACTTTCCTTAAATCTGTAATAAGTGAGTGCCATACCCGAACTGGGACACTCGTGTCCTTTCGTTGGCATAAACTCTCCGTAAACCTCTCAGAGTTTACGGAGACAGCAAATTTTCTGGGACACAACGGGGGAGAAAAATTGGACCGGTACCAGCTGGAAGCAGAGCGACACGTGAGGACACAGAAAGCAACGCGTGAGGAGGGATTGCTCAGGAACAAAGACGGCAGGAACAGCAGGAATGAGATGAGGGCCCGTCTGTCACACGTCCCCAAATGTAATCAGTGATGCATTTATTTTGTGGAGGAAAAGCACTGAATTAACTACACTCACATGTGAAAGGACTCCAGTTTGTACTGGTATTTAGAAGAACCATGCCTCCAGCTGAATACTTCTTTTGAAGACTATAAACTAATAAAAAATATCTTGTTTCAGGATCACAGTGACACGTAATCTGGTCCATAAGCAACAGCTTCAAACCTGGAATTTGGGCTCTTAGATGATAAAAACATCCATTCATTTATTTCGCCTGCCTGTAAACTCGTGGCAACACTGCATTATGTGGATGAAAGTTCAGTAATAAGAGGAATTATGTTTGTTTGCCTCACTCCAGAAAGGCTCACAGCAAAAATCTGCATCACTTACTTAAAAGGAAAAGGATCAAAGTGTAATTATACATCAGGACACTGATTGTTTCCTGTCCGACGTTCACTCCACACTGTCTAGATTTTCCCCTACCTGCAGTAGCCGCACACACAGACAACCTTCCATCCCATCATCCTTTATGTGAAACATCATTTCCTTTCTCATTTTTCTTACTTCCCTCGCCACCTTCTCTTTTATACTTGCTGCTTTCCTTCTGCGCTCCCTTTTCCTCTTCCTTGCCTCGTCTGCATTTACTTCGTCTCTGCAGGTTAAACACTCAGGGCTCACCGAGAGACAAAACTCTGTCTAATTTAGATTTGGGCCAATGTAATTGCATATAACATACATACAACACAAACTGCAGATACGTTTGGATGCTGTGTAAAATGTAAACAAAGTATGAATGCAATAATTTGCACATCTCATAAACTCATATTCGAACTGAGATATTTTACTATTTCATGAAAAGTATTCGCAGCAAAAAAGTTGGGAGAAAAGCAAGTGGTGCTAAAAATAAACAGCAGGAGGAACATTTTGGAATTTATGCTTCCAGTCTTTGGTCCTGTTTATTGGAGTGACAGCTGACTGAGCATCAGCCGACCAATCAGAGACAAGCCAGGATGCGTAACGAGATATTTACGCAGAGATTGTTGTTTTTCTCTCCGAATACAAAATGTTCTCAGGTCTGTCCTGGGAAATTTGGGGTTCGGGTATTTGGGTCAAACTGAGACAGCGGGCTGTGACCTTCTGTGCTGCTGACAAACAGCCACTTGAACACGTGAGCGCACAGCGACAGGCTAATGAGGCGGCTGATTGCTGCTGACACAACAACATGTTGACCAGCTCACCTGCAGAGACACGTCCTCATTAGTCTGAATGAAACAGGACGGCTGCGCCCACAGCCGAGCCTCAGAAATGTGACCAGCCTGTGCTTATAAGTCACACTGTGGAGGAGATGACAGGCTTTTGCAGGGTCACTGCGACGTGCCTTTCACAGCACGGCCAGATACCAGCAAGAAGAAACAAACTGCTCACTGGTGAAGTAAAAACACCACAGAAGCCTTTCATGTTTCACAGGGGAAAGGATAGAGTTCAGTGTTTCCTCACACCAAAGATGCTTTTGATAAAAGACTCATTAAAACTCAAAGAGCTGAAACATTTTAGGGCATCCAACTCGTTTTATCGCTCCTCACTACTTCTACTGCATGCGGTGAATCACGATGCTTCAGTTCAGAAGGCTGCACCAAAACTGTGAAGGTCTTTGCTTTCCCGTGGTGCTGCACGCAGTAATGGTGCTATCAAAGCAGCAACACGTGGAGCTTCAGCAGCAGGTCTAATTCAATCAGTTTGATTTTATAAAACCAAATCACAACAACAGACGCCTCAAGGCGTTTTATACGGTAAGATAGAGACCTACAATAACACTGGGCGCAGTCAGTGTTTGGCTCAGTGATCAGGACGACGTAATGCACAAACACAATCTAGACAAACATTGTCACGTTTCTGCCTTTCATTCAAATAACTTCACAATCCTCTGTGTGCATCTTTACACACACACACACACACACGTCGGGTATTCATATCATTTTGGTCCCCACAAAGATTCAATTTATTTTTATTTATACAGCGCCAAATTACAACAAAAGTCACCTCAGGGTGCTTTATAATGTCAGGTAGATCCTACAATACTACATACAGAGACAAACCCAACAATCATATGACGCCCTATGAGCAGCACTTTGGCGACAGTGGGAAGGAAAAACTCCCTTTTAACAGGAAGAAACCTCCGGCAGAACCAGGCTCAGGGAGGGGCGGGGCCATCTGCTGTGATTGGTTGGGGTGAGAGAAGGAAGACAGGATAAAGACATGCTGTGGAAGAGAGACAGAGGTTAATAACAGATATGATTCAATGCAGAGAGGTCTGTTAATACATAGTGAGTGAAGAAGAAAAACTCAATGCATCATGGGAATCCCCGGCAGCCTACGTCTATTGCAGCATAACTAAGGGAGGATTCAGGGTCACCTGGTCCAGCCCTAACTATATGCTTTAGCAAAAAGGAAAGTTTGAAGCCTGATCTTGAAGATATGAATATCAAGATGTGTTTTGAGTGCGAATTATCATTTGCATTAAAGATAAAATTGCATTAATGGTTTAGGAATGATCTAAACTCCTGAGTTTAAAGGTACTTAAACAATTGACTGACAGGCAGTTGAAGTGAAGGTGGCCGTTATTACCATGAAAAACCAAAATTAAACCAAAATAAGAACAGCAAAAATCCACAATCTGCTTAAAAAGTCTCAAAAAGAAGGAATCCACCAACGGGATCAGCAACACTGAAAGGTCTGAAACACACAGGAGACAAATCGTGGTGCAGACGTCTTTCCTTGTTTAAGAAAACCTCCGCACAACATGGGAGCGAGTGAAGAACGCGATGATGAGATCTGAATCGGGACATGAGTGGAAATACAGAGTTTACGATAGACTGCACTCCACTGAAGAACAAGAAGGACAGACCCGACTTAGGAAAACTTGGATTAGCCAGAAAAAAAGCCGGCACAGAAACCAAGATGAAGTTGGAGCTGAACGATGGGAAAAGCTGAAGCAGACACCAGCAGGGTGATGGCGTGGGCATGAATGGCAGCAGGTGAAAGCGCCTCACAGTTTAGACTGACTAGTATTAAAGTAGTTAAACCAGTCCTTAAAATTAAAGTTAGTCTGTCCAGTTATTGTACATAAAAATGAATGAAAGTCCAGAACAATTCATGACAAATTTTAAACTCCTTGAAGTGATGCTGACAGTCTGCACTTGTGATTTAAACTGTCCTGTAGAGGCAACGCTACAAAAACTGCTTCTGTACAAACACTGAGTGTAGTGTAATGAGTGTTTCTCAGTGTAGCGTAAAGTAACAGGTTGCATCTGTGAAATACAGTTAAAATCACCCACAGATAAACTTCTCATTGTGCACTTTGAGGGCAGAGGCTGAATATCATGATGTAGATCTGTGTCGCTCTGCATGTCGCTGATGATGTTTTAAACAAGCTGAGGCCGTGAGTCTGAGCAGACCACACTCGGCCGTTATCGCCCCATCAGCTCAGACGCTCCACGCGGCACGTAGGCAACGAGCTCCGCTTAGATTACAGCCGTCTGCTGAGGAAGCACATCCATTTATCTTTAATGGAGCTCATTTTCCCGAAGGCAGGAGACTCCCATCTGTGTGCCATCAATCCATCCCTCGCTATTCAGAGAACACTTGTGTTTTCTTTAACAGCAGGACATCTAAACTGACGCTGATATTTATTTTCTGTTCTCATCCACACCCTAAAAAACATTTACACGTGAGGCCCGGAGGCCAAAGTCAAAGTGACCTCGGAGATGTCTTTATGAGCCGTTTCCTGTTGTCATTACAGCGCCGTGAATACAGGTGCGCCTGCAACACCTGCACCGAGCAGGCTGGAGCTTCCTCCCATTGCTTTCATTCATGTTTTAGTGTCGAGTCACGTTTTCTCTCTTTGGATTCTTCTCGTTTAAAATTCTTCTCAATTTATCTGCTCACATAACAACGCTAATCTGTACTCGATCAAACTGAGTCTGATGTGTGTGTGTGTGTGTGTGCGTGTGTGTCCAGTCATGTAGCTGCCGCCAACACACACACACACACACACACACACACACACACACACACACACACACACACACACACACACACACACTTTGGCGCTCCCAGGTGTAATGAGCACACATGTAGGTGTCTGAGAAACATCCTGCCGCTCTTATCCTGTCTGACGTTTCATATTTCAGTTTGTAGGGCTGTTGTTCAGGTTTCTATGTTCTCAGTTTTAGGACTTTCTGGACAAACTGGCCAAAATGTTCCAAGATTCTTAAGTTGGAACATTTCTGACTTGTCAGGCGTGCATGAGGTGTTTTTTAATGTCTTACGTCCCATTTTAAGTGCAGTTTCATCCCACAGCTTCTGGGATGGTTTCATTGGTTTGCACAGTCACTTCTGAATCATGTTTCTTCAGGTTTATTGGATATTTTATGTTGAATTGGATAAAAAGAAAAGAAAGACACTTTGAACAGGTTGGACTTTTGTATCGGAAACTTCGCGTGTCGACCTCTGAACCCTCAGACAGACCTGTGTGTTGGGCTAATTTGCTTTCATTTTTTAACAACTGGTCCTCACAGAGCTAGATAAACGAGACCACTCGTCTTACAGCAGCTGCTTCACGTCTCCTCGTTTGTTTGTTCTGGACGGCAGAAGATTTCTATCATGGTGAAAATGACAGAAACGTTTGTTTTAGGGAAGAGCTTGCTGCCGCCGCCTCTCAGCGATAAACGCTGGTCCCAGCCTGAGAGTCATAAAAGCTGCTGGGAGGAGAAACGTGGGGGTTTTAGGATAAACTGAGGAGGACGAGTCAAAGGTGAACGCTACTAAAAATAACACAGAAAACTAAAAGCTTTAACCTCCTAGGACCTGGCGTCCACATATGTTGACATTACATTTTGGGTTATTTAGACCAAAATACTCAATTTTGCTCTACAAGGGCCTGATATCCACTTACGAGGACATTATATGCTACTCTTCTATCAAAATTTAAAATGAATATCCTCATATGTGGCTCTTATTTTTGTTAGAAACAAAAATTAGGCAAAAAAAAAATCTGCTAATTCTTTGTTTTTACATTCATCAGGACCCAATCAGCCCAAATATCAAAGAGAAATTAAAAATGCTGCTGTGGAAGAGTTCGGGTCTTAGGAGGCTAAATAACTGAAACTAACATTAACAACAAAACGAGAACACACTGGACTCAAATTATCTCAGGACACAGAAACGTGCAGTTTAGTTTGGCCCAGGTGGACATATTTCCTCATGTGCTCGTCATAATTATGAGGACTTTTGTTTGTATTTTTAAAGTGTGACTGTCACAGTCAGTTCCTCACATTCAAACATAAAGACAGGTTTAAAGTAAAAACCTGGAAAGTGTGATTGACAGATACTTATCATCATCATCATCATTAGAAAAGGTTTAAATGTTTTAATTCCTCTGGTGACATCAGCCCCAGGGTCCTGAAGTCCTCTTTTTTGACCTTGTGATGTGTTTTTTCATCATCGCCTTCGTGGTGTTTTAAATCGATGGGACCATCAAACTTCGAGGTTGTTGGCTGTTGTTGTTGTTCCATAATCCTCCTTTGTGAGTCTTAAAATATGCAATGTTTACAAAACTGTCTAAAACGTTTATTCAGTATCATGTGAAACACGCGGCCGAGCCCAGAGAAGCTAGGAGATCATAGATATCGCCCCCTGCTGGTCATAAGTCAGAAGACAGGACCTGGAAGCTACGTCCAAGTTGTTATACTTTTATCCCAACTCTTGAGGCGATCGTGGCTCAAGAGTTGGGAGTTCGTCTTGTAATCGGAAGGTTGCCGGTTCGAGCCCCGGCTTGGACAGTCTCGGTCGTTGTGTCCTTGGGCAAGACACTTCACCCGTTGCCTACTGGTGGTGGTCAGAGGGCCCGGTGGCACCAGTGTCCGGCAGCCTCGCCTCTGTCAGTGCGCCCCAGGGCGGCTGTGGCTACAATGTAGCTTCATCACCAGTGTGTGAATGTGTGTGTGAATGTGTGGATGACCGGATGTGTAAAGCGCTTTGGGGTCCTTAGGGACTAGTAAAGCGCTATACAAATACAGGCCATTTATCATTTATCTGCAGCCCAAACTCAGCTGGGGGATTGATTTTATCAATCAAATTACTGGATATGATTCAGATTACATGGAATGAATCCTGCACTATAAGGTCCAGATGTGCCCCAGCTGGGCAGTGTAGTAGTGTGCCCATAGAAGCCCCTTTCTGAGGCCCCAAAGGACAAAGTTGCGGTGAGCACAGCCACTCAGGTCAGTGTGGGATAAGTGTGGGTTTTTTCTGCCCACACAGGCCCACAGTTCACCCACAGCTACCAAAAGTGGGTCCACGCGAGGATGTCTGCTGGGTATGTGAAAGAATTTCTAAGAACTCACGCTCTCTGGACTTGCCATTTCGTTGGGGGAACTGTTGAGATCCTCCAACATGTTTAGATGTAGTTTAGTTTAGATTTGGTTCCTCTTTTAGGTTTATGTGGATTAGATCCCAGGTCTTCCGGACCTTAAAATGAATCTGATTTCTTCTCTCACTGGCATTCAGGTCGCCTAAACAAACCCCACAACTCTGTCGTGTTTCCTTTCACGTTAAACATCACACACCGAGTTCTGCGGGAGTTTGGTTTGCTCTCACCTTGTCGGCAGCGTCTCCCATCGCCCTGACGGCTCTCTGCAGCTGCTCTCTGATCTTCATCAGGCGGTGATAAAGCTGCAGGCTGAGAGTCAGCAGGAGGCTGCGGACCCTCGTCCACATACTGGGCTCATCGCCATCGTCTTCACTCTCGTACTGCTGCACCCTCAGCTCCCATTCCTGACCTGATGGATGGCAGAGACGTTCAGAGGCAGAAGGCTTTGCATTCATAAAGATAGGTTACAGCAAGCAGCCATCAAAAGTAACGTTTGTAGAACTCGTGCTGAACTGGAGTCTGGGCAGGACGTGCATTTCACATGACATTAAAGCATGTTCAGAAACTTCATGTCTGGTCTCATTTCCTGGTGTGGCCCTTGCATTTGACGCCCCTGACCTACAATAAGAAGATTTTAAAAACACTTTCGGTGACACAGCTCAAATGTCCTCGCTGTTTTAAAATTCCAACCAGGCCTCACATAGATATAAAGACAAACGGTAAACACACTCAGTCTAGAAATTTCCTCAGAGTGTCACATGAAGTGAGGTTTTGATCCTGTCACCTTCAGTGTTATTGGCGTCAACATGTGACACTGAGGACTCTGCTCTCTGATTGGTTCGTTGGCTATTATCAGCATAAAGAGCTGAAGTCGCCAGCAGCAGTTTGGGGAGTCAGCAGAGCTTCGGCTCCCTCTGCTGGTTGAATTCTGCAGAAAAATATCCCACACGCAGACACAGGCTGTATCCCAATTCAGGGTCTGCAGCCTTAAAGTATGCAGCCTCAACGATCCTCAAGGGCCGCGTACTCAAAGACCGCTAAGGCCGGAAGTGCAAGGCTTGTGTATTGGGACGGTCTAGCCTCCGTTGCGCTGCCCAGGTTGCCTAGCAACCATGATACTAACAGCTGGAAACGTGTCATACAGCTTTGTTTGACAGAGATGAAGGAGAAAATCTTTTGTTCATTTGTTTCTTTCTACATGAGCTTTGATCATTCTCTGTAAGATTAAGCTCAGCTATTGAACGGCGTATATTTTAAAGTAAAGGCTTTAAAACCAAGTTAGTGCAAACGTCACTAATGTCACATAACTTCGCCGACATTCAATTCAATTCAATTTTATTTATATAGCGCCAAATCACAACAAAAGTCGCCTCAAGGCGCTTCATAGATACAGAGAAAAACCCAACAATCATATGACCCCCTATGAGCAGCACTTTGGCGACAGTGGGAAGGAAAAACTCCCTTTTAACAGGAAGAAACCTCCGGCAGAACCAGGCTCAGGGAGGGGCGGGGCCATCTGCTGTGATTGGTTGGGGTGAAAGAAGGAAGACAGGATAAAGACATGCCGTGGAAGAGAGACAGAGGTGAATAACAGATATGATTCAATGCAGAGAGGTCTGTTAATACATAGTGAGTGAGAAAGGTGACTGGAAAGGAAAAACTCAATGCATCATGGGAATCCACGGCAGCCTGCGTCTATTGCAGCATAACTAAGGGAGGATTCAGGGTCACCTGGTCCAGCCCTAACTATATGCTTTAGCAAAAAGGAAAGTTTGAAGCCTAATCTTGAAAGTAGAGATAGTGTCTGTCTCCTGAATCCAAACTGGAAGCTGGTTCCACAGAAGAGGGGCCTGAAAACTGAAGGCTCTGCCTCCCATTCTACTTTTAAATACTCTAGGAACAACAAGTAGGCCTGCAGAGCGAGAGCGAAGTGCTCTAATAGGGTGATATGGTACTACAAGGTCATTAAGATAAGATGGGGCCTGATTATTTAAGACCTTGTATGTGAGGAGCAGGACTTTGAATTCAATTCTGGATTTAACAGGAAGCCAAAACAGGGGAAATCTGCTCTCTCTTTCTAGTCCCTGTCAGGACTCTTGCTGCAGCATTTTGGATCAGCTGAAGGCTTTTCAGGGAGTTTTTAGGACTTCCTGATAATAACAAATTACAGTCGTCCAGCCTGGAAGTAATAAATGCATGAACTAGTTTTTCAGCGTCACTCTGAGACAGGATATTTCTAACTTTAGAGATGTTGCACAAATGGAAGAACGCAGTCTTACATATTTGTTTAATATGTGCGTTGAAGGACATGTCCTGGTCAAACATGACTCCAAGGTTCCTCACAGCGTTACTGGAGGCCAAGGTAATGCCATCCAGAGTAAGAATCTGCTTAGATACCATATTTCTAAGCTTTTCAGGGCCGAGTACAATAACCTCAGTTTGATCTGAATTAAGAAGCAGAAAGTTAGCGGCCATCCAGGTCTTTATGTCTTTAAGACATTCCTGCAGTTTAACTCATTGGTGTGTGTTATCTGGCTTCATGGACAGATAGAGCTGGGTGTCATCTGCATAGCAGTGTAAATGTATGCCCCACAAAGATATGTACTCACACTAAAACACACGTTTTCCACAGAAAAAAGTTGATTCTCGATAATCTCGTCTGAAATATGAGCTGCAGGGATGCATTTCTGTGTGATAACACGATAACTACAGGTGAGGCAACATTAGCTTAAATCTCTCAGACTTACAGAAAAATAGCTGTTTTGCCAAAGAGCACTACAACCCTCCTCATACTCACGCAGTGTGGGTGGGAGGGGCAGGTAGTAGGCGGTGGCGTCCTCCACGCGACTCAGCACGTCATCGAGTCCCGACATGGCGGCCTGGCCCACCTGAGTGTTCTGCAGCTGCTGCACAGCCACCCGGCCTACGTTGGCCAGACGCTCCAGCTGATCCAGAGCTGCGTCCAGGCCGTCCACCACCCACAGCTGCACGTCATCCAGGGTCAGGAAGAAGGCGTCCTTCAGGTGAGTCATAACCTGATCAGAGGCAGGCATTTACAGCGATTTAAAGTCCCTGTAACATCAGGCAGCAGCCTTCCCTGACATTGTAAACGGTTTTTAAGAGTCGTCTTTGCACATTAAGCCTTTAACAGGCTCAGAGACACTGCAAATGTTGGAGGAGATCAAACTGATACGATCCACCTGGGGGCAGCTGAAGCATGTGAGACACTTTACAATTATCTACAGTCCTGTTTGGGCCTGCCTAATGAATCTCTTTGAGCTCCAGGTTTGGTTTCCACCACCTCCTCAGAGCAGCTCTCTGTGTGTCGGCTGCTGAGCAGGAAGTGCCCAGAGGCTTTCTCCAGGTGATTTCTGCCCCCAGGTGTCCTGTTCTAGACAAACACCTGAAACTACAACTGAATCCTTTGAGTGATGTCTGAAGGACTTTAAGCTGGATGGAAAAACTACATTTATTACTTTAATTTTACATAAAGGTGATGATTTTAAATGATCCGTGTATAGCCTTTTAAAACAATGCTGAGCCTTTCTTCCGTTGGATCCTGTTGTTTCGACAGCCTGGCTGCTCGCTCGTACTCTAGTGCAGAAATTTACCGTTACCTTAACTGGCAGCGGTGCAAAGAAAAGTTTGTGACATGACCACAACAGAAACATCACATCTGTAGCAGGTACTGACCTCGTCTGTTGACTGGTTCAGGATCGGATAGGTTTTCTCCAGGTGATCAAGACCAACGAGAGCAAAACTGTTGGCAGCATCGACTGTGGAGAACAAGACAAACACGATTCAGAGGCAGCGAAACTGTGATTAGGTGAGATGAAGCTAACGGTGCCAGCAGTGCTGTCACGTACTCTGTGGCTCCAAACTCTGCAGGAGGGGCGTGGCTCGTCTCATGGCCTCTTGGGAAAAGCTGCGAACTCCGACCTCGGCCATTCCTCCCATCAGACCCAGCAGACGGTTGCGAGCTTTGACCCCCGAGTACATCGAAGTCACCATCTGTAACGCTGAGCGAACCAGAGGCAGATGGGAAGCTCTCAGGACGGCATTGGTCTGAAACACGAGGAGGAAAACCGTTACACCTCATCAGGACTACAATGGGGTTTTTTAAAGCTGGAACTGGGAATACTGGAATATTTGGGCATTGGAGCTAAAGCTCCCTCAGGTTATGCAGCAGGACAATGATCCGAGCCCACCTCCACCTCACAAATACTTTTTCACATACTTATATATCGATACAAACACAGATCACGTTGTTCTTTTATTCCCATTCATTCTGTATTTCATCATTTGTTGCTCATGCTTCCACAGATCGAATCCCTTCCTCCTCTTCTGTGGAGGAGCTGGAGAAAGGTTTGGGCGAAGCCTAAGTATGTTCGCTCTTAGCTCACCTCATGATCTGGATGAGATGACATTTCTCTTTCGCCAAATCTGAGAAAAAACAAACAGAGGTCACAGATCAGACTCGCCTCCATGACCTTCACATCAGCATGAGGCAGTCAGCTGCCAAGCCTCCACAAAGCTCACGACTGTTCGACCAAAGCCAGCATGAAAATCGTCTTTTCTTCGCACCATCCGCTCCAGCCGCCGAGCACACAGCGGCTCAGACGCAGCACAAAAGCCTTTCTTTAAAACGAGAGCGCAGAGAAACGGCGTGAAGACTTTACAGGGAGAAAATGATCTTGAGTTTGCATCATCTGAGTTTCAGCTTTACAAGTCGTCTCTGTGGAAAATGGAAAGCACCTTCAATAAGTCACCTAAAAACATCACGAGGAAAACTATTGCACCAAGATAAACGTTCTGTATTTCAGACACATAATCGGTATTTTGCAGTTTTCTGCATGAGGGAACTTTTTTTGACTTTTTCTTTATTTGTTTGTTGCTGTTTTTGATTTTCAGCAACGTCTATTTAAACTACTCAACATGGATGAAGTGGAAATAATCCCACAATTCAGACTGGGATCATTGGAAATCATCCATCCATATTCTGCCGAACTCTCTTCCAAGGAAACTCATTTGTATCCATGACCTCATCCTTTGGTCGCTACCCAGAGCTTGTGACCATCGGTGAGGGTGGGGATGTAGACTGAGCGGTAAATTGGCAGCTTTGCAACGTTAAAGTTAAGCAGTGACCACAGGTATTAGTTGGGTTACATGCATAGCTGGACTGGCTGGATGAATGAGTTGAAGGGAAGTTATGAGCTGTTTCTGAGAGACAAATAACACCAGGATCCTTTTCTATGTAGCTGACAGCTGGTAACTGTGCAGGGGCGGATCTAGCAAAGTGTTGCCAGGGGGGCAGGTAGGGCATTAACAGGGAGAGGGGGGCACTTTCTTATTCTCATTTAAAATGTCTCACTTTTAATAAATAATTATCCAAATCTTACAACAAACATTTTCATCTGATGTAAAATGTATAGAAATCCATTATTGTACGTAGTAATTTTTTTAGGGTCCCATCATAATTTCTTCAGAAGGAGCAAAGGTAGTTACTGTAATCTGCAATAAACTTTGAATGAAGAAGTTTGTTGTCCTCCGCACCGCTCAGGTTACGCTGGGCAATAAGATTCTTACTTCACTACAAAGAAATAAGTAAAATAGAATAATTAAATTAAAGAAAATGAACAATACGCAGAAAATAAATAAATTAAAGGATTTACAGCGCACAGAAGTGTAGAGCGGGGTCACAACATAAACTTGGTTCTTATGCAACGGTAAAACATTCAGAACGTACGAGTGTTATTACACAAAAATGTGTTACTGTACAGGCAAAGAAAAGCGGCTGAATATTCCAGTGTGCCAGCACACACACACACACACACACACACACACACACACACACACACACACATGCACACACGCACACACACACACTCACGCACACTCACACACACACACGCACACATGCACACACACACACACACACTCACACACACACACACACACACACACACACACACACACACACACTCGGGTATTCATATCTTGTGGGGGCATCTAAGTGACGTAATGCTTTCCCCAAACATTACCTAATTGTAACTCTGACACTAAAACCACATTTTGAGTGTAAAAATGCCGTCCAGGATTCTGGTCCCCATTACGCTGTTGGTCCCCTCAAGTATAGTCAATTATTAGTTTTTGGTCCCCACAAAGATATGAATACATGCTCAAACACAATAAAATTTTTATTTCCAAATGATTTAAAAAATTGTCATTTTGTTAACATGAAACATTTTCTTTAACCATGCACTTACTTTTTCTCTAAACACTACTTGTGTAACCGTAAAGCAGGTTAATTTGCCAGGGAGCAAACCACCAACCGTCTGACAGGTGGAAAGTAACCTAGTCAGTTTTGAAGATTAACAAAGACCAACACTGAGCAGTGCTGGTTTTCTAACACTGGAATATTTCTAACATTTTGAGTTATTTTCCAGTGTTAGAAGATCAGCACTGCTCAGTGTTAGTCTTTGTTAATCTTCAAAACTGACTGGGTCACTATTAAACATATAACACTGTCAAAAGTGTAAATTTAACACTCAACAGTGTTGTATTGAACACTCAGAGGACTGGACCCATATAGACACTCTCCAGTGTTAATTTAACACTGGAGATTTTGCTGTGTATGAGAACAGAACAGGTAATAAATGGAGAATTCAAAGCCAACACATAAAAAACAGCATTTAAAGCTGCTGTTTCCCACAGATGAGAAAGGAAACTTCACACAGAGTCCTGAGCTGATCGTCCCAAACTCAGGAAGAGCTTCTGGTGCCTGCAAGCATCAGGTTTTACAAGGCGCCAGTAACAGAGTTTCTGTTTTAACTCTAACACAGACACACAGGAGAGTCTTACCCCATTAGAGGACTGTTGATGAAGCAGCTGAGCCGAGTCACGATGACAAAAATCATGAAGACACTCTGACTTTATAATCTGTAGATAAAGAGTGCTCCTGGGATTTGAGGTTAATAAACAGCGACCAGATTGGCTGGAGCGTGGTGTGATGTCACTGAGGTTTTAGACTTTAATGGGGAAATTGAATGATTGCCCTGCTGTACATGTCTCTGACTAATCAATTACCTCTGAATCAAAAGGGTCATTCAGGGGGAAAGTACAGGAAACTGAGAGCCGAGGGAAACGCAACACAAAATATAAATACTGTAAATCCAGCTGATAGTCACAACGCTCCACCGGAAAATATCAGCAGAAATATCCAGAATAAAGGTAATAATAAGCTGACGAAACTATAAACCAACAACTGATCGAAGCCTTTCAAACAGACGTAAAGTTAAAGACATTAAACTCTTTCTGCAGCACCCTCTGGTGTGTGGTCTATGTTTAGACTTCCTCTAAAACTAAGGCCTTTTTTAAAACATCTAAAATGCAAAATGTTAGTGGAGGACGGGCAGAGCGGCGTTTGCACAGCCACGTCTGCGTTCTGATGTACTGGAGCCATGAGCTGAACGCAGAGGAGAGAAGTATTGATCTGATCAGGCTAGTATCGATCCGATACTGTCCAGGTTAGCTGTGTTGCAGGCAGGATGAGGACTCAAACAAAAGCTTGAACAGTAAGAGGCCGCTTTATTGGCTGTGGCAAAAACTCTAAAATTACAAACAGGGAAAACACAAAACTTTCAAGTGGAACCGCAGAACTCAAAATGAACAATAAGGCGATAACACACAGCCCTGAGAGGCAACAACGGACAGAGGAAAACACAAGGCTGAAATACACAAGGAAGTAATGAGGGAACGAGACACAGGAGCGGGCTTACAGGTGGGGGTGTGGCCACTTTGAAACAGGAAGCTGTAACTGATCAGGCTTACAGGTGGGGGTGTGGCCACTTTGAAACAAGAAGCTGTAACTGATCAGGCTTACAGGTGGGGGTGTGGCCACTTTGAAACAGGAAGCTGTAACTGATCAGGCTTACAGGTGGGGGTGTGGCCACTTTGAAACAAGAAGCTGCAAGGTAAGGAGTGACTGACTGGCTTCTTCTTGACTGATTTAAAAAAAATGATATTATCAAATCAGTACTAAGGCTTGTTGGTCCGCTCGTTACCGAAGCTTGTTATGAATCCTGGAGTGGTTTCACCATGGCCAGCTTGGTGTTTTGAATCTGCCTTCATCGGCTAATGTCTCCCAGTGTTTTGCTCAGGTTTGGTGTTCACGCATCGATCGTGACCGTGTTCCTGTAACTGTGAGGCGTACGTGACACAACCGATATTTCTGTCACTTGATACATAGCAGTGACATTTTGTAATCTACCCTACAAATTGTTGTAGCTGCATGACTCAATTCAGGAACTTCAAATAAGATACAAGTCTGAAAACATAAAAACAAGAAAACACTGGCTCACTGTTAATGTAAAATGTGAAAGTAATGAGGTCATGCTTCAACACGATCAGCAAACATCAGCAGCAGCCTGCCGGAGACTCTACAAAACCACTGAAAGAATATTATGTAAAAGGTTTTCACTTTTTTTTTTGTTAGCAGGTTAATCGTTTATATCTGTGTCATTACAGGCGTTTCGCTCTCCGTGGACCACGTCAGTGTCTTCTTGGGTAAATGTAGTCAGAGTATGCTCAGAGAGAGGCGGGATGAAGGAACCAGTGTCAGAGTTTCTGAGAAACGTTCATGTGACAGGGATCATCAAAGGTCAGATGACACTGGCTCTGGTGATTTCTAAGAAAGACATCTTCTTAATCTTTAAATGATGTGAAAATCTGGTGACATGCTGCATTTTTCTCTTATTAAAACGTCCGGTGCACACTTACTGATACAGCTCCTCACTTTAATAAAACTCCTTCAAATAAAGTTAATGGTTAAAATGGCTTACACACTACTAATATCAAAACTGCGTCATTCACAGTGAAAAAACGTATTTAAACTTATTAGAGGCATAGAGTGATGTCATTGTGACAATCCAATTAAATCTGGCTTCCATCCAATGAGGTCGACACGTCAAAGACTGACAAAAAACCCTGTAACGTAGAAACTATGACCCTTACAAGTGAGGTGTGTACTGCCAGCATATAGAAAGTACCACGTAAAGATTTAGATATGCTAGAATGATCTGCAGGTTGACGTGATAACAGAGGTGTGGACTCGAGTCACATGACTTGGACTCCAGTCAGACTCGAGTCGTTAATTTTATGACTTTAGACTTGACTTGAAAAAATGTTCTAAGACTGTGACTTGACTTGGACTTTTACACCAATGACCTGGGACTTGATATTTCACCCCAAATATAAAATTTAACACGCATATTATATTATATAGAAAGTGTGCACCATTAATTCAATTGATTCATTTATTCAAACCACACTCCGTACGTATGTGTGCGTGAGCTGTAGCACAGCCAATCAAATTAACCAGATTTTTTTTAAAAAAGAAAAAAAAAACGCTCAAAAATGCTGCAAGGAGATATTTTTTTCAGGTACATAAACTATGAAGTAGTCAACAAAAAACCGAAATGCAATATGCAAAACATGCAAGAAGAGAATCACAGACAGATGGAGCAGCTTCCAACTTTCAAGAAGTTGCATAAAGAACGTAGGCAGTGCTTCTCTCTTGCTACGATGAGATCATGACTTCATCTAACTAGCAAATGTTTTCCAGGCTACGTTGGTGATGCAGTTTTTTTAAATGTGTATGATATTTTTGTCATGCGATTTTAAAGCCGGTCCTACAAGCGCATCCAAGAATAACATGCAGCTTATCTCAGAACTGTCGGTGAAAATTATTCTTGGAGCTAGGTTTAATTGAGCTGCATTTTAAAGAGGTGCAATTTCACAATTTGTGTATATTTTCTAAGTTCACTATTTTGTCATGTGTTGAGAAAAACACAGATTTAAAAATCACATGGTCTAATATTTACATTTAGCATAACTGCAACATACTTTTTTCTTTTTTTTTTTTTTAAAGACTCGAAAGGACTCGAAATTCAAAGTTTCAGACTTGTGACTTGACTCGGACTTTTACACCAGTGACTTGAGACTCGACTCTGACTGGCCTGACATTACTTGAGACTTGACTTGAGGATAAAGACTTGAGACTTACTTGAGACTTGCAAAACAATGACTTGGTCCCACCTCTGCGTGATAATGCCTTATAGAGCCAATTAAATCTGCCATTGTTTGTGTTGACAATATACAATATTCTTAATATCACGCCACCTTGGACCCATAAAATAAACGATCAAGTGTAAATAAAGTGAAATGAGCGTTCAGGCGCGGCCGTCATGGATAACTTGTTTTTATTTGTACGTCCAATGAGTGTTAACAAACCCAACACAGAGGTTAGCATCCAGGTCTACAGCAGGGGGCGCTCAAACACACTAAAGCTCTGAGAACATCGGACAGGAAGGAAACCAGCAAACATCTTCACATCTGTACAAATGTACACTCAGTCTGTCTGTCCGTCCGCCAGCAGGTCACAGTTTGAATCCGAGGGCGTCGATGGAGATCCGGCTTCAGGTGGCGTTTTCTTCACCTCTCTATGATTCAAAGTGAAACTTACACAAACTTTATTACTCTCTGCACTAGTAAGCAAGCTGTTGAGCAGATTCAAGGTTAAAGTTAAACTGGGGTTAAAATGTGCTTTCGAGACTAAACTCACAGTGTGTCATCACTCAAACAAACTCGTCAGTAAGAAAACATGAAGCCAAAGTCCAACGTCACCTCAGACACATTCACTGGGCTTGTAGGAACAAAGTAATATAAAACAGCGCCACCAGCTGGCTGCAGGGGAACATTCACAGGGGGAGAGATACGCTTTACAAAGCAGTGCAAATCAGAGTCTCAGTGTGATGGAGGAGAGGGAAATGTACAAAATGAGACCAGCGCAGTGAAGCAGAGGAGCGCTGCCGTGGTCGCCGAGCATGTTTCACATCCCATCCTTAGCATCGGCGTTTAGTGCCAGGATGACCATATTTAGACGAGAAGGTGGAGCCTAATCAGCAGAAATAAAGACTGGATACAGAAGATGAACATAAGTTCAGAGTCTGAAAAGTGAACCCAATGTGGAAGCAGTTCCCTCTAATGACCAGCAGGGGGCAGCGAGGGCTGGAATAAGAAGCCCGAAGTCTGAAAGAACTGAGGAAATGAAATCCTACTTGTTATCACCTTCATGATGAATTTATCATTTCACCTGACAGTTTAGGTCTTTATGAACGCAGCATGATGTCATTTTTTATGAGAGTTAAAAAGCAGGAGTGTTCAGTTCCCTCGATTTCACAGGGACCAAAAGCTGATGTCACGGTACCTACATCCAACTTTTATGTCCAAGATGGAAGTCTGACCTTTGGAGTGGACGCCTGCCATCAGAGCTTTTAAAGACCTCGATAAATCAACAGTGACTGTGTCAAAACGCTGAATTAGTCTTTTATAAACAAGCCTTAATTAGTTCTGAATGCGTGTACTGAACAGCCCTTACACACATTACTTGGTGGACTTTTGTCACATGACAGTAAAGTGCTTTTCTGTAGAATGTGGACTGTTGCATTTCAGGATATTCAGCGTTTTCCAGCAAGAGTCGTAAGCAACAAAAGCTACATCTGATGTTTCTGGTTACGCTACTTTTAGCATCAAAGAGGTAGTCGAACTATAAAGACTTTTTGTACTTTCGACGGTCAGCTGAATTCTAGTCATTAACTGCTGTATGCTGCAGATTTCATTGCTTTTTAATGTCCTTTCAGGTTTTCAGACTTTATTTTGGTTGTTTTCTTTTCTGAATTGTCACCCAGCTGCCTGAACAGTGTTTAGAGGAGCTGCAGGTTTTAGCACTTCCACATTGGTTTCAGTTTTAAGCCCTGAAGTTCTTATTTACCTCCCATCCTTTAAAGCGAGTGTTATCCTCATCGTAACTACAGCACTCCTGTGGTAAACTAGCTTAT